TCCCTTCCAGATTTTTATTTTTCTTAGATCCTCTCTAGTTGAGATGTAATCAGATGGAAACACTTTGGTATCAATTATAATAACTTTTACAAGCCACAACTTATGAAGTTGGGTTGTCATCACTCTCAATTTATTAGAATATCTGCGCGGTTTTAGCCCATTGTCAAGTGAAGGGAGGCGTTACACCTCTTTTTTGGAAAACTTGGGAAAAAGAAAATTTGTACTCTCTCGAAAGCATTGTCGTTCCTTGGCTGTTACCCTGATGACCATACCCACAGTCAACAGCCGTGCGTCCGCTCTTCACCTCGTTACCATTAACTGAGGGCCTGGGTCGGGCTTGACACGATCTATTATTGCAATTCGCAGCATTTCATGATCCAACCTGTCCTCCACCCCTAGATTGCCTAATATCGATAATTGCTTAACGCCACCAAATTACAATATATACACAATTTGGTCAAGCCCTCCATGGTACTAGTAACTAGTTTTGTGCGGGCAGCAAGCATCATGGTGCACTGGAATAGGTACAGTGAAACATATGGACGTTTTATTTTATTATAAGGTACCTCTTGATCTACTTCCTTGACTCTGAGGCTTTCTTTAATACAGCTTAGATACCACATTCGCTCTTTTGAAGCACTTCCCTAAGATGCTTTCTCCAAATGTTCTTTCATTCAAACCAAGGGAAGAAGCGAAAAGGCCTCCCGTGCTTTCGGATGTGGTTGAAAAGACGAAGCACAGGACGTTTCTGACAGCGAAAATGGAAAATGGCATGCATTGCGCTCATTTGTCGATTAATCAGAGATTTTCTTTTCTGAAAGTAACAGTATTTCTTGATTTCGGCAAAGGTGCTAAGAATATTACCCTTTATGAAACTTTTAGCTAACTCCGATACAGTCTTACTGTAAAACAGGTACAACTGAGTACATTTGTAAGTAATTAACTTATTTTCAATAAAACATATTGAATAGCTAGCTATACGCTTGGGATGATTAGCAAGAACAGCACAACAATGTTTGGATTTCTCTCAGAAAGACTGAAACAGTTAGATAATAGCAAGGAAATATCGTGAAAGGAAATGTCAGTCTCTATGAATTAACCAGAAATGCTTTCAGATGATGGAAATAGATTTATAATTGAAGTATATCTTCATTCAAGCATAACCGTATTCCGTTAGATCTTCCTGTTTTGCAGCTGTACATGAGTACACATGACTGAAGATCATTAGGTCAAGCTGTTAAAAATTATTACAGATCGGGAGCAATTCGTAGCATTTTAAAATGGCTTTTGTGGCATGGCACTGATTTTTCGTTTAGTGCGCCATAGTTATTTACACATTAGTGGTCAGCAGTCTGTCGAGGAAGAAGATTAGTTTGCATTCTTTCATTCAATGTGATCGTTCAACTTCCGTGTTTTGAATTGTTCAGGCGAGGTTGGAGGACTTAACTAACTGCTTTTATCTTTCCTTTTTAAATCAAGAGAAACTACGCTTTACACTGTAATTTTTTTTAACCTTATGTAAAGGGCGGAGTTCCAAATTTGTCGTGAACTTGGAGCAAGGAATAATTACTCCTTCCAAATTTTTATGTTTCCCTGGCCGTTTCCTTGACAATTATGCACACAGTCATTAATAGCGCGTTCGCTCTTTCGCTTGCTTCCACCAGCTGAGGGCCTAAGTGGTGCTTGATACCTAATTTGTTAGGGCTAGAAATAGCACAGACTCCATTACCTCTGTCATAGCATCGTGAATGTAGAAAATACATTTTCAAACAAGTTAACGAATAATTCAGATTAGGAAAGACCTGCTGGCACCAAAAACCCTCACAAACTGATAGCCTTTAAGCAAGCCCTCATTATAAGGGGGTCCAAAGTACGAGCACAACTTCGCTTTTGAATAAGTTTGGGGGCCTTGAACAACACAAGACGGCGAGAGGTCTTCAGGTGGTCTGGCACTAATTACTGATCCCTTGCAGACCTCTCACGGGCACGCTTTACCAAGACTCGGTCGCCTAAGCTTGAGTAATTAACAAAAATGTCCAAATCCAAAGATGTTGCAAAGAGTTACCAGCACGTGTCGCTTTTTCAAAGAGAGGAAGGAAAAAAACTGATCGACGATGTAGAGATTCATCGCGGACATGTTATCCTAGATTTGGGCTGTGGTACTGGAGAATTGTCTGCGTATCTTTACGAGCTCGTACGACAAGATGGAAGAGTCGTTGCCGAACTCTTTTACACTAGTACATTTCCTTACGCTTGCGCGGCCTCTACAATACCTTCTTTTCTGCTTTTTATTCAAAACAATTAATATAATGATTTATTTCTACTTGTGCGGTTTCAACAACAACGACACCAATCCATCGTTCTATGAAGAACAGCTTTCCGCCACTGAAGCACGCAGCGGCTTTGGTTGGATATTTTTCACGTATCGCCAGGCAGTTAACAAGTGAAAACTTTCACACGAAAAGAAAAAAAAACAGCAACAACAACAGTAGAAAAAAATTAAAATTTATCGTTGTTAACGCTCTATTTCCGGCCCGATCGATTCCTTGCGTAAATCACACTAACTGTGTGGAGTCCATTGTTTTCCTATCAACCACGCAATCAAAAAAATAGAATTAATCTCCCCGAGGTCATTATTTGGCGACCATACCGCTGACAAGGAGCCAAAATGACCCTGGGTTTGGGGCCTTGACACACGACAACCAGAGGTCTTCAGATGGTCTGGCACTAATTATTAGTGCCAGATCCCTTGCGGACATCTCACAGGCAGGCTTTACCCAGATTCGGTCGCCTGAGCTTGAGGAAGTAATCAAAAAAACTTATCGACGATGTAGAGATTCATCGCGGACATGTTATCCTAGATTTGGGCTGTGGCACTGGAGAATTGTCTGCGTATCTTTCCGAGCTCGTAGGACAAGATGGAAGAGTCGTTGCCGTTGATCCCGACAGTTATCGAGTAGAAGTGGCGCGAGAATCACAAAGGGAAGAAAAAAATCTCACATTTCAAGAAGGAAGCTCTACCAGCTTCCCAGGAATGGGCTCGGAGACTTACGACATCGTCTTCTCCAACTTTGTGTTGCACTGGATTCGGGATAAAGAAGAGGCATTCAAGAACATGTTTCAGAGCCTGAAACCAGCAGGGAAAATTGTCCTGATTTACAACGATCGTTGAAATTGAACATTTTCCTCTCTTAAGTTAGTTCTTAGGGCAGACAATGTTTTCGTCACTGAGTGTTCAATTAAGTCATGTTGCGGTGTAGGTTATGGTTCATTGCGTGTACTTTCCAGCTACTGCGCAGGCGGGTAACGCAAGTCTATCATGGTCAGATGAAGTGGTGGTTTGTTTAGCGGGCTACATTGTAAGGGAAGGGCGTGTTTATTTTTGTATCCTGAGGGGGTGGGGGAGGGAGGTTCTTTGTAAAATAACAGAAATGACCATGTCAATAAAAGCAGTATATTTTGTAGCGTATGCGTTTTATTAGTGTTTTTTTTTAATAATCAGTGCTTCTGTTACAACAGAACGTAGGAAAGGGAATTGGGCTAAAGTTTTCTGCATTATTTATTGTTCATTTCATCATTAGGAGAGCTGTTTCATTTACAAGAACGCATACACTTTTTATAAGTTACATATTTTGCTAATTTAATAAAATATGAATTACCTTTTTATTTGACTTCAATTTTTTACTTTTTATATTTATGTATTTACATTCTAACAGTACCATGTATCTTTATTCTAAAAAGCCTTTTGGGAAGAATTACGTATACCTGTCTGTATGTGTCGTGTCTTTTCCGCATGTTTTGTGAAGTTAAAATTATGATAATTTATTTTGTTTTTTTTGGGCCCCTTGTGCGGGTAGGTGGGTTAGGATCATGTCAAATATAATAATAGGCCGCTCTTTTTCTTGAGAATTACATATATTTTCTGTGCAGTGGAAAAGATGGTTGAACATATATGTTAGATGTAGTTTTTGAATAAGGATGGGTGTTGATTACATCAAATATAGAGGGAAAGCGACTAAATTTTTTGCCTGGGTTGTCTTCACCTTTGGTTACGTGACGAGGGACTAGTTTCTCTTTGCTGGTACTTCGCAGTATGTATTCTCCCTTCAACTTTTCTTTTCCGGAAAAAAGACGGTTTCCACTTGAATCTACACACAGTAGTATCTCACCGTCGTTTTGTGTGTATTGTTTGCGGTTTTCTCCTTACTATCACGTACGAAATATCACGCTTGTTTTAATAATGAGCCTTCGTAAAAAATGTTAATGTCTCGGTTGGTTTTGAGGGCTTTGAGGGACGCAATAATCATGGCTTTCGAGCTTTTTGTATTACAAATGAGGCCATTCCTAGAAAACCAGTGTCTGACGCTCTTGAGATGCTTGTTGACATTGTACACAGCTAAATCGATATTCTTCAAGCTGGAATGCATCTCAGTATCATCTGCTTATAACGAGAGAGTGGACGAATGACATGCCTTCGATATGTTATTTATATGAATATTAAATAACGTTGGTCCTAAAACTGATCTCTGCGGGACGCCAAAAGAAAGACGCATGGGATCTGAATTAACGTCCTTGTAGACGACATACTGTAACATCTCTGATAGGTAACTGTTGAACCACCGAAGTTCGGACTCTTTCACGCCGTAGGATTCGAGCTTGGTTAGCTAGCTTAAATATTTTTGAAGTTCAAAAAGAATTCAATTACCACGCAGCAATACTGATTAACCCTTTAACTCCCAAGATATAATTGGTAATTCTCCCCTTTAGCTTGTACACACATCCTTGTAAATTGGTTATGATAATTTGGTGTTAGATCAAGATAACAACTTCCACCTGATACGTTTGAATATTCTCATTAGCTGTTTGCTGTATAATGTAAGAATTTCACAAGGAGAAGTTTCATGTTGATCACTTCTGGGAGTTAAGGGTTAAATCAGAGCAATTTACAACTTAAAGTCGAAAGTTATCCGGTATTGCATCGGTTTTACTTTACTCTGCTCAGTGATAGGTCCAGAAAAACTCGCGCGAATATCTCAACCAATCAAATACAAAACTAAAACCAATCATGAGTAAAGGGGGTAAGTTTCTAACGAAACTGTGATGCTGCGTCGGTGGGAGAGTATAACGGGGTAACTTAGTATTATAAACTTAGTTGATAACGCAAATTGATCTCCGTGAATAGTTTAAAGTTCACATTTCGAGCGTCAGCCCTTCGTCATTCGCTTTGACGAGGGGCTAACGCTCGAAACGTCAGCTTTAAAACTCTCTACGGATGCCAATTTAGGTTACCAACTCAGTTTATAATACTAAATTACCCTAACACCAGTCATGACTTGGTTGCATGGGTTTTCCCGCGCTTCAGGCGGTTTGTTTGTATTAAGTTTTCATTGGCTCCATATGACTTTGCTCAACAAGTCTCAGCTCATCTCTGGGTTATAGTTTCATTGTTCCTTAGCATACTGACGAGGGCAGTTGGGCAGATCTGCATCATGCAAAAGAATGCCAATCAAGTCCACCATTTATACACAGGGTCTCTGGTATCTGACCGTTGTCTGAGAAACATGTAGGAGACTTCGTGCTTGACAGCACGGAGGCAATATCACCCTTGTTTGTGGATCTGCTATGCTGTTGAATTCATGGGAGACAAAAAGGTAACAGAGGTACGCCCTCTAGCATTTGTGACTGTGCACCAGTGTACGCTAGACAATCAATCGAAGAAATTAAAATATTAGGCCTTCTAGAGTAAGCAGTTGGTCTATGGTTGGATGCTCTAGCATGTTCATATGCCAGAGCCCACTTCACTCACTTCGCCAAAAATTAAAACTCACCGACATAATTAGTCAACTCACTGACACCTTTGGGGTAAAATTTCCGCACAGCCCTATACGACAATATGCATTCAGTTCTTGCATAGAGAAAACAATGACAAAAGCAATACATTGCCATTGGGAAAACAGATTTGTTTTACAATAGTATGGGACTGTGCGGAAATTTCACCCACCTTTGGTCAACTCGCCGATATTACCGGTCCCATCGGCAACATTCTGGTTTAGGCAAGTTCATGGTTGTTAGACGGGCCAACTCTGTGGTTTGTCCGGCATGATTTTGAATTCGAACTGTGGTTAAATAAACACTTTTATATTATTAAAACAATTGGGAAAAGCTTCGGTAGCTATATGTTTCATATAAGACTCTAGATGAACTAATGCACAGTTCAGGCGTAGTTGCAGAAGATAACTGTGAAGCGTGTCTCAACGGGGTGATGACATTTACGGCGAACGGTTTATTTCTCTCCATTATTTGTAAAAGGAAAATTTAATGGTTAACGTCTTTAACGACTAACTGTTAAAATTCGTCCACAATTTTTATCACCAACGGCAAATTTTCTTTTGCCCTTCACGGCTAGCGGTTAACCCCTAGGAATTAATCGGCCATGACCTTTGAAAGAGCACACCACTTGGGGTTTGTTCATAATTAGTGTTTCTAGGAGCGTGGAAATAATATCACGTATTCAAGTTTGTTTGTCACCTCGGTTCCAATCCATTACACTTTACATTGTTGTGATCATTTCCTTTAGTATTTAGCATTTCTTTATGTACCGTAATTACAGGAGATATTAACCTTCTCAATCTCATCAATTTAGCTCTCGAAAATCCCGATCATCAGCCGCTGTAATCATTATCCGTATAAAACAGATCAATCCGGTTTCGCAGGCGCTACGAATCTATTGTTACCACACCTGGTGCAAGAAAGTAATCAGGTAATGAAATTCCTGATTGAAATGGCAGTTTGATCAGTCTCGGTTTTCTCCGTAATGTGGATTAACTGGTTTAATTTCTTTACGTTGCTCAATCACCAGTTTAGATTGAGTCATAGTAAAGGATAAAGTCGTGTCGTTTTTAGATCAAAAAGCTTAAGTTCAACAAAGCTACAAACAAGAAAAGATGCAAAGTTCTTCTAATCAAGCAATCGTTTTCTTCGTCAACGGAAAAAAGGTTTGGAAAATAAGTTTTTACTTAATATACGTGGCAAATACCTCGATGCAGACTATGAACGAGCTCAGTTGAGTGTTGTTCAAAAACAAATTATTTCAAGAATACTAAAGCTTTCCATTTCCTCATATTCCGTTCAAAATCTGGCCGATGAACGATAGAGGGGGAGGAGGTTGATCAACGGTAACTGTTTACACTAAAATACTAAAATACGTGCTCCGTAAATGTAGTAATCATCGCTTTTTTTTATCAGCAAACTAGTGAAAGTTATTTCTGATTTTCCTCTGTTATTATATCGCCTTATTCCATTCATTATAATCCTACACTCCAGTGCTGAGCTTCCTGATCCACTCCTTCAGTTCATGCACATAATCTCTCGCTAAGATTTCGTCACTACAGAAAGACGATATTTCAAAAATTAGTATCATGACTTACGTATTTATCTCGAATAGACATCGTAGGGTCCGAAATCGGTATTAATACAATTGTCAAGTCACTTTTAATTATCGTTGTATTATTCCTCGTCAGAATTCCATAAAAACATCATTTGATTTTCTGCTCCTGTAAATGATATCTCAACTGACTGCGTGTGTCAGGCTGTGACCGTATTCTTTTCCTGGACAGGACAGAAAAAGTGAATTTTCTGCCCCCCCGAAAACCCCCCCGCCAAAAAACCTTCACCAGAGAATTCTTTGTGCATGTATCTTCAAAACAGCATTGTCCGATCGAGTCCTTCATTTCTGTAGGTATAAATTAGGTAAACGTTCCTTCCTGCGTTTTCACTATGCAAATAAACGAGGTCGCGTCGGTCAAACTACTGAAACATGTTTACGTTGTAAGTTCACTGGCCTTTATGTCTACTAATCGACTTAAAATATCGGGTGCTGCGTATTATTATGCAGTGTGTTATATCCACTATATATTTTTTTTTCAGGTTGTGGAGCGCAATGCGCAGCCAGAAATGTCTTTGCTACAATACCTTCGAAATTATTGTATCCTTTGATTGCGAAAGATTTGTTACGTCGCTTCCTTGGTCCGTCACGCAATCCTTTCTAAGGTTAAAAGATCGCCGCGGCGTCACGTAATTTCTGAGGTACTTATGATTGTGGAAAATTTCTTTCTCTTCTAAATTTCAAGTACAATTTTTCTCTTCCTTTCCTCCTATGTAATACTTTTTGTATTCACGCACGGCGAGCGTGATTTCACTAATTAGCCAATTACGTCAAAGAACTCTAAGCTTGACATCGGATGACCAGGTAGATAATAAAACAAGGAGTGACCTACAATGACCTAAAATGACCTAAAACGACCTAAAATGACCTAAAATGACATAAGTGATCTAAATGACCTCAAGCGATTTCTAAAATGACTTAAAATGACTCAAAATGACTTTGAGTGAATTCTCAAATGACTAAAAATAACCTAACATGACCTAAAGTGATGTGAACAATGCGGCGTCGACAAAATCTGGATCGGACCGGACCGGACCGGATCGGATCGGATTGTTCATTTCGGTTTGCGGATATTACGTAATGTAACATTTGGTCTTCGGTTTTCGGTTTTCGTCAAAAATTCAAACAGGATTTCAAAATTTTTTCCGGTTTGCCTTCGATCTGAGTGGCAATTAAGCGCCTCCACTGATCTCCAACAGCCGCGAAATGCAAATGTTATTGGGAGGAATGCGTGACAAACCAAATGTTGGTTGAATATCGTAGGGATCTATAGGAGGTCACGCGCCTTGAATAGTACCCGAGACTTTGACCTTGTAAAGTAGAGCACTTAGGTCGTTGTATCGGCAACGGAAGAAGCTCAAAGACCTTAAGAAGCAACTGTGGATTGTCTCGCGTTTTTCTTAACTGACTGATGAAATGATACATGCCTCCAGCTTGCCTTCGTCTATGGTGGCCCTACACAACACTCCTCGACACAGTCGTGAAAGTGATTACGTGGGGTTTTTGGGCAAAAAGAAAAACTCCCAGAGCGGCCTACGCTCTATTTTGTCACGCAGACTTTATTTTGGCATGTCGTGCAAAATTTCTAATTTTATTTTACATGATCCGATCCATGATCCGTGATCCGATCCGTGATCCGGTTCGTGATCCAATATGCAAACTCAAGTCATTTTAGGTCGTTTTAGGACATTTTACAAATCATTCAAGGTCATTTTGGGTCGTTTTAGGTCATTTTAGGCCATTCCTTGTTTTAGTAACTCGCCGGATAACTAACGTGGACATTTTGCGAGTACTTTTGTTGTTAGGTAAAAAACCGGAGTTCAGTTAATTGTTTTTGAGCTTTCGTTCGGGTAAATTTGTTACCACTTTGTTTCAGAATTTTAAGAAGTTTCGGAGTTTTCCTTTCAGCCATTTATTTAACAAGTTTAATACATATTTTCTACGGATTTTGGACATCTAGCCTCTCTTTTCGTAATTGGAATTTTTTTACAATGATTCTTGCTATTGTAACTTTTGAAAAGTTGTTATTTATAACAGATATTAGGACCTGAGGAAAAACAAAATTAACTGTTTCCCAGGGAACCAGACAATAAGTGATTTGTTGTACATCTATCAGAGAACGAAAGCCGTATTTACCGTGAGACATTTCCTCCAGGTTGAAAGAGCTTAAAGCTGGCAACACACCTAGCGATTTCATAGGCCGATCGCAGCGATCGTTAAAATCGCCAGATGTGCCCGTTGCGATTCGCTGATTCGCTGATATCTGACATGCCAGATATCGGCCAATAAAATCGCCAGGAATGTCGCCGTCCTAAGAAATATCACGCATCTATCATAACACTCGCAAAACCTGGACATTGATGGTAATCAATAAATGTATCTCCCTAGGCATACGTTTTAATTTATGACACCCGATTACCAATCACGTCACGTGCAAACCTGGAAATTGATCGCATGGTCGCATAATTACCAATCAGCCATTCGTGATTGTCTTAAGAGCCAGATAAATCGCAGGTATATAGCAAGAACTGTTGTTGGGCTTAACATCTCTTCAGTGGGTTTAACAGGCACTAAACTTGGATGCAGTGAAGGTGGCTGTGGAGCATGTACAGTCATGATCTCTAGATACGACCATGAAATGAAAAAAATCAAGTATCCTTTATGAAATAGCAAGATTTTGAAGTTAATGAAAGAAAGCGTTTGTTTATTATATTAGGAGACTCATTAGAAGTGTTGCAATTTCAACATCCTATAAGCCTCATTAGGAGTACTTCTCTTAATTGACAGCAACAACGCATTAACCCTTTAACTCACATGAGTGACCAAGATAGAATTTCTCCTTACAATATCAAGACAATATCAAGCATTAGGAGTACTCTAAATTGACAGCAAAAACACATTAAACTCAAAGGGACGCTAACATCCAAAGACCAATCCTTAATTTGACTTGGGTGATCTTACAAAGTTTTACTCAGCCAATTGTCGTTTCAGCCGAGAAAATGTAATTTAAAGTTTGAAAAAATGCTTGCATTTTTTGCTGATAGGGGTTTTGTCATTTCACCATTCACAGGGATGTCTTCTCTCTTTTATGATCTTTTATTATAAGTTGCGCCGATAGGAAATTTCCAGTGTGCACTGTATAAAAGACGTAATTTCTAACTGTGAGGATGTGTCAGGATTTCCCTTACCAAAAAATTTCCAATCCAGGTAGTTGTTCTGGAAAAGGATTTATTGATTAGTTTCTAGCTTTTGGTACCTTATCAATTGGCTCGGTTTTGACTATGGTGTAAAAGGCCACCAGTAAAGCGGAGATCCTCTCAGAACTCGATCCCTAAGCTGGAAACGTTGTCCACTGCGCCGACCTGTAGAAGTACTTATTAAATTCCCTTTACACCTTGAGATTTTCGGAAAAAAGTCAAACTTTAACATTAAAAAGACATTTCTCTGCAAATGGCTGTTTGATGCCATTGTGTGCAGTTGATGGAATGGCTGTAACCACAGTGGAAGGAATTGGAAGCACCAAAACTGTCTTGCATCCAGTGCAGGTAAAAACAGGTTTGGCTGGTGTGGCCAGCTTGGCAGGTCTCTCTGTCAACAATTGAAAGATTCAAAACAAGTTTTGATGAGATCAGAACATGCCCAAGAACGACCATAACTTAAAAGGGACAAAGAAAATAAATTTATTTTCCTTCAGATCATTTAGTTGAGTTTCTGGTTTCCATGTGGTTTCTAGCGAACACCACAGCTAAGTTCTTCAATGGTTTGACTTGGTGTGACTGAAATTTAGAACTTTTAAGTTTGCAATTGTTTGCTTTCTATTTTTTACCCTAGGAACGGATCGCAAAGTCTCATGGGTCACAGTGTGGATTTTGTACCCCGGGAATTGTGATGTCAATGTACACGTTGTTAAGGAACAATCCTTTGCCATCGTATAAAGAAATGGAAAGTGCATTTGAAGGTAAAAGCTTTATATTCTTTATTGCTCATAACACGGACTTATGAATTCTCCTGGATGAGGGAGGGGCACAAAGGAAGAGACAGGTTTTAGGCTGGTTTTGACAATCAGAATAAATAAAAAAATGCATTTTATTTTTCCATTCTGAAGGAAATCTGAGATTAGGCTCATCTACTAAGTAAGCCTGAGTATAAAAAATTATCCCAAGTTGTATTAGTTTCCATTGCTGGCTCTTTGATTGGCCTGGAGAAAAAAAAAGCACAACCCCCTCAACCAATCAGCTGCGACAAAAGTTAAGCTAATCGTAGCTTGCTCATTCGTCATTGCACGTGCCTTTGGTTGTTTCTTCATATCTCACTGATTTCTTGTGGGGTCCTTGTATTATCTTCTCTGTCTTTGTTGGTCGTTGTGATAACTTAGCTTTTTTCTTCACGGCTCTCGATCGCAAGGGCTTTAAACTGTTGTTTTTAACAGTTGTCTGTAGGGTAAGCTCCGGTCGAGAAAATCCTCCTCTCAAGTGAACAGCCATAAGCTGTCTTCACATTCCGCACCTCTCCTTTTCCAGGGATATGTACACTAATTTGACATGGAGCCGGGTGCAGGAAGGAAAATGTTAACCCTTTACACCCTAAAATCAGTATGCATATTCTCCATACTACTCTTTATACATCTCCTAAGGTGCTGACAGGAGAATTTGTTTACCAATCAAAAGCTTCTTTCGTCGGTGATCATTTTCTATATTCTCATAACCTTAACGTGTGATTCAGGGGTGATATTGTGGGGAGAAATTTGATGTTAGTCACTCTTAGGGTTTAAAGGGTTAACTGTGATAAGAACGTCGTTGCAATTATTCTAACTCAAATTTTTATCTTCAGGTAACTTATGTCGTTGCACTGGCTACAGACCAATTGTAGAGGGTTTTAAGACGTTCACAAAGGTCAGTGCTGGTTAACCATTTCACTCTGACGATCTCAACAGTAATTCTCCTTACTGTCTACCATAAATTCCTTGTACTGTCAGTTCTGAGATTTGGTTTTAAATCAAACACTATTCCCTTGTTTACATTTTTCTTTATTCTCATCACCAGTCTCCTTGATAGAGTATGATTATCTTGAGGAGAAATTACCTTTTGGTCGCTCTGTGGAGTGAAGGGGTTACGACTTTAAATTTACCACGCCTTACCGCATGTAATTTAGAATCTTTGAGCTGGAATACAAGAAATCGTGATCATGGCTGTGTCTAGGTTGAAGTTGTATGTGGTGTTGCGAAGTAAGTGCTGAACAAAAAAAAAAGCCAATTCAAAAGATGGTAATATCCACAGCACAAAACTCGTTCCTAGGGTCTCTCCTCCTACCCTCCCCTCTCATTCCTGGGGCGAGAAGAAGAGAGTGCCTAAGAAGTACGTAGGCAGCGCCACAACGTCATACATTCACCCTTACTAACAGTTCCCGTTTTCCATCCTGGAAAGTATTTGACGAGAACGCACCACAATAAGTGAGAATTCTTTGCTATCTTTCGCATTTTAGAATCTCTCCTGTGGATTTTTTCTCCGCGGGTTGGTTATCGCCTTCTAATTACGAAAACAACTACAACCAGGGAACTGGTCCATCACGACTAAATGATCATCCTCTTCCGTCCGAAAGGTCCGGTTCCATACGTCTTTTTTTTAAACGAACAGAAATTGCATTATAAAGAAACGTAAACCTTCATCCATACCTTCTTGTCTGTTCCAGGAATGTTGCGGCAAAGGTGGAAACGGATGTTGCCTTGACAATAATTCAAATATTATCGGAGAAAAAGTTGACAGTGTAAGTTCAGATAGGAGTAAAGTGGGTAAATTTCTACAGAAACTGTGGTGCTGCGTTAGTGGTGATTGCTCTAGATTCGGTTTACACCACTCAATCGAAAAGCATTGTAATAACTTTTCTGATGATAAAAACTCATTACAAAAATGTGTTGGGTTCTGGAGAAAGAACGATTGGTTTTGTCTTAAAGAGTTTCTTGCATACTTACCAACTCTTCGCCCTATATGTCATCTCTCAGGAGTCAACCAGTGGACTTGTCAAACCTGAGGAGTTTACACCATACGATCCAACACAGGACGCGATCTTTCCACCAGAGCTGATGGTAAGCCAACTTGCAAAGCAGGTACAATTCCACTACGTGTTTCAGGCGAATGGAAGTAACTGCACAACACGTTCGGGTACACACTCCTCTTTTCGCACGTGATTCGCGTTTTAAACTTTCCTCGCGTTTGCCTCAAACATCAAAGCCCTTTATGGGGCTAGTTGTAAGCTTATAATGTCTCTTTTTGTTGTTCTTTTGTTTTTCTGTTGCTTCTGTTTTTTTTATAAATGGAAGCGCTTAAAAACCCAAGTAGCCTTAGACAGGCGCGCACTAAGAAGAAAAAAAGGCTCTATAGTTTTTCTCTCAGAAAGAATGTGTTGTGCCACGTATTTTTACTGTTTTGTGTCTTATAAGCTTCCAGATGCTATCAAGCCAAGACGTTTGTACATTAAAGGAGACCTTGTTACTTGGATCAGACCAACAACTTTGGAGGAATTGTTGGAACTCAGAGCAAAATATCCGCAAGCTAAGCTTGTGATTGGTAACACTGAAATAGGTAATAGACCTAACAAGCTGTGATTAATGCTTGGGCCGACAAACTGAAAAAAATTCTCATGATGCTGTCCATCTATTCTTCAAGAATGTAAAAAGTTTTTTCAGCGGCAGGATAGAGATAAAAAAATGCCACGAACATCGATTCAACGGCCAGGCAGCTCGGAAATTTAGATACAGCACTAAGATCTAAAAAGATTGCCTAGAGAAAATTTTAATAGAATTCTTCGTTGATATCGGTCTAAATGCAAACTAGTTGAAGCAGGTGAAAGACCGAGAAAGAAATGAAACGTGGTAAGGTTGGAATTTAAAGAAAGGTGTAGTATCAATTATTCCAGGTCTATGTCGTCGTCTATTTTTCCTCGTCTATTTTTCCAGCCTTTTCCGATGTCTTGTGTCCCAGTCTTTCAAATTGCATGATATTTTTTCTTCTCGCCTTCATTGTGTGGTCGCGTATTTCTAAAAATCAAAACTATTTCATATTCACAGGTATTGAGATGAAATTTAAAAATCAGAATTATCCAATCCTGATAGCTCCTACTCACATTCCGGAGTTGAATGCCATCGAACACACTGCAAAGGGCATCAGGTTTGGTGTGTCTGTGACATTGTCTACCTTGGAGGAAGTTCTTAGTGAGGCTTGTCAGTCTATGCCAGGTACTTAAGTGAAACTTAATTTTATGCCCCGCCCACTCAAAGAAACGAATTTTCATTTACTTATAAAGATGATCACTGAGGGAAATTTTTGTCGGCGCAATTGGGAACAGAGTAGTGTTGGGAAAGGCGCTTAGGTGGTTATGAAGTTGTATGCGCTCTGATTGGTCGATACAGTGATGATCATATTCGGTTTCAGCTTATGCAAAGTAATTTGCTTAACACAGAACATGTGCAAACCTAGTCAGAAACCTTTGGTTACACGACTGTAAGGATTTTTTATATTGCTTGTATGAGGTGATCAAATTGTCATTCACATGAACTTGAACAGACTTGAACCGATGCTTTACCATAAAGCAAAAATAGATTTAATGACAAGACGGAAACCGCGTGTACTGTAAATACCTCTCGTTGTCCTTCGAAAATCCTTAAAAAATTTTTTCAAGGATTTATGAAGGTACTTACAGAGCGTGCGGTTTCCGTCCTGTCGTGAACAAACCGTGGTTCACTAAGTTTATACGTGACAAACGTCCTGCGTACTGCTAAGAACGCAATATCTTTTTCGTTTCATTGTTTGCTCCATAGAATACAAGACCAGATGGTTCACAGCAATACTTCACATGCTCAAGTGGTTTGCTGGTCATCAGATTAGAAATGTTGGAGTGAGTATGCTGATGTATTCACACCTCGTCAGTAGACGCCGTTTTAAGGAACTGTTTTACGACTTTACATGTTCCTCTAACGATGTTTCAGTCCACTGAGGAGAAACTAGACAGTTTTGAGATTCTTTCACTTGATAATACGTTAACCAGAAAGTAACCAAAATACTAATTTTTATTCCATCTGAGCCGCCATCAGGCTTTCAAATCCGCCAAAACTCGACCTGAGACTCCCAAGTAGACGCTAAAGTAACTCGCAAGAAATAGTCTGTTCTGCTAATCTTACTTCTAAACTGTTTTGTTTGTTTATTTTGTGTCAGGCCATAGGTGGAAATATCATGACCGCAAGTCCGATATCAGACTTAAATCCAGTTCTAATGGCAGCAAGATGTACTTTGATTTTGGCGAGTGCTGGAGGTATTGGTTATCGTAAACCGGCCTAATTTGGATCCTTTTATTTATTTATCCATCTATCTGTTCACTTTAGTTTTCTTAAAAAATCATAATTTGCTCTTATTTATTGCAAATTTACAGGGAAAACCAGGTCAGTCAAATTGGATGAAAATTTCTTCACGGGATACAGAAAAACTATTTTAGGTTCAACAGAGGTGTTGGTCAACGTCCTGATTCCATTCTCGAAGGAGGTAATCAACTTTTATCAATAATATCTATATTTTCAGGAGTTTTTAAATGAAATTAGAGCAGCATCCGTTGCTGCGCCTTCTATTAGCGCTGATTCCAAAATTGCTATTGGTCCAGAAGAACAGTCCGGTGAAAAAGATTGTTCTTTAACGGACAAGTTGTTACTTATCACTTGAGGAAGATGTGGGGGGATGCTGACAGTAAATAGCGCTTCCTTTTTTCATGATTCACTTTTTCAACTGTCAATTAACGCAGCGTAATCTTAACGCCTGTTTCGTTACGTTTAACAGCACGAACACATATTCGCTTTTAAACAAGCTCGCAGGCGAGAGGATGACATTGCCATAGTAAATACAGCCATGAGAGTGCAGCTTGAAAAGCAAACAAATTCCAGTTCATGGCAAATCAAGGACTGCAGTTTCACTTTTGGAGGGATGGCTCCCACAACAGTAATGGCCTTGAAAACCATGAAGAGCTTAACTGGCAGGTAAGGACTGGGTTCCTCAAGCACTTTGCTGTTCCTTTTGCATTGATGCTCATTGGTAGAATGTCTTGCTCGTACTCGCTTAAAACTTGAACCCTTCACAGTAGGGGTCTGCGAGCCAACCACGAGATCACCGCATCATTTATTGCGTGCGCGCCCTTCGTTTGCGCTGCAGGACGCGCGCTTCTCCCCCACCCTCGCGGAAAGATTTGAGACGATTCGGGGAAAAGTTTGCCGGGGGTCTGGCACTATTACTAGAGCCAGACCCCTTGCAGACTTTTGCTACAGGCGTCATCTTTTTTTTCCGCGTTGTATTGAAGCGTCTATAATTAGGGCCTGCTTGCAGGTTACATCACTCACTAATAATAAATCTACCCTATTATGATTCATTTACAGAACTTGGAATGAAAATATCGTACAAGAAGCTTGTCAGTTGTTAGCAGGAGATCTGCCGCTTGCACCCGGAGCACCCGGTGGTCAGGTCGAGTACAGGAGATCGCTCGCCTCAAGCTTTTTTTTCAAGTTCTATCTGAATGTCTCTCAGCAGCTTGGTCATGAAGAGGTCAGCACTCAGAATTTTATAATATAACTAACCTTGATTCTTTATAATTAATTTTTTATCATTGACCTTAAAGTGCTATGGTAAACAATTATTTACCAAAGTGGAGGTGTCACGGCTAGCGGCTCGTCAAATATCCACAACTTTCACCGACTCTGAGGTTAATAATTGTTTTAGTATATACCACACATGTACCCAAAAAATTAGTTTGTTTCTCTTCATACACCGAGAAATGGTCGAAAATCACACTCTTGACGCACGTTTTTGTCTCAAGCTATTCGGAGGTTAATAGTACTTACTTTTCACTTTCGAATTAACCAATCAGCACGCGCGAAAAGTACTATTTACCTGTGTGGTATAGACTGACTAAGTTTATTGTATTGTTTTAGTGCGATACATACATTCAAGAATTTTAGGATCGATGTAGTTTTGTATCTGAGCAACTGCGCACCTATCTCTCCCCTCCCAACAACAATCAACTAATAACAACTTAAGGTTAATGTCGGGTTAGGGGTAAATGCACAGTCGCTATAGATACTGACATTGATCCAATTTTTACAAATATGTTTCAATAGGAAATTCAGCCCATCTTGGGCGATTCTGTAACCAAAAGTCACGAGACAGGAAGAAATTTTTTTCGCAGAGAAGATACTCGGAGCATACAGACTTTCCAGGTAAACAAAGGGCTGAATTCAATTTCTTGTTATTCAAGAGTGTAGTTTGCGAGCCAAAGCCCGGGAATCGTAACCCGGTATTACGTATAATGGCAATGTACAGTAACCTATCAAAGTACGAGCCTCGTTCAACAACGTTTTGCTAACAACCCTCAGAGCTCCGCTTTTAGGATTTAGATAGCATGCTGCAACTTAGATTGACAAACAGTCAGAAAATCGTCTTGACGAGTGACCCTCGAAGCCTATGACAAGTTGTCGATGTTGTTGTTGTTTTTGTTTGTTTGTTTGTTTGTTTACATATCCAGACAAGTTAATATTTTCTATACTCCTCTCTTACTCGCAAAAGACTCATTTACTTTCTCCGATTTTGGTTGATTCAGGAGGTGCCCGACGATCAGTTCGAGGAAGATTTGGTTGGCAGGCCTGTGACTCACTTAGCAGCTGCCAAACACGCCACAGGGGAGGCAGTTTACTGTGATGACATTCCGAAATATGCAGGTACAGTTATGTTAACCTTGAGACCACACACAATATGGTTGGAATCCCTGTACCTGAATCAGTATGCGTAACGCACCGTCAACAGGTTCCAGATTAAAATGTGCCGAATTTCCATTTCGCATTCTCTTTGAAATAATTTTTTTGTATTTCATTTTTAATGAGATAAAAAGGTTGTGTAAAGCCCTTGCAGCGAGTTCAGTTTCTCAAAAACTGAGCGGTCCCGATAGAGAATACTATGGTAACTAATAAGTACAGCTCTTTCGGACAACCCGCAAAATCCTATGGATATAAAGCACGTGAACATTGAGTTGAATAACTGAGCGTTAAAAACACTAGGAAGTCGATGTAAGCTATCTATGGGTGAAAAAAATGTTTAGACCTTAACCTCAATCAGGGGTTACTTCAACTGTCTTAGTACCTTGTGCATAGCCTCGATTCAACCATTCTTCCGTTTGTTCACAAGTAGGTCATCGAACTTTTCTGAGTAAGAAAGTATGTCATCTGTTTTGATTTTCTGTCTTTTCACAGGAGAACTGTATTTGGGGATTGTTTGGAGCACACGTGCTCATGCCAATATTGTGTAAGTACTTAAGAATTTTCTTCAGAGCTTCACAATTTTACTAAAACATCTGGTGATGGCACTTTTATAAGTCTCTGAGTGAAATCAGATTTATTTAATCAATAGATATAAACTAAGCAAAGCGATGTTAAGTAGCTCTTAAGTTAGTAGTAAGAATTTTCAAATAAAATCATCTCACACTTGCGTTTACCGGCCACGGCAAGGGGGGAGGGGCAGAGGATTGCCAGGTTGTACTGTTTGGGCTTGTTATAAATTGTTTTGTCATCTACTGCAGAAGTTAGGTTAAATGTTGGGTTAGGGGAGGGGTAGGTGCGCATGCATTTGGTCATATACTGACATTAATCCATCTTCTTTTAGTTCTGTGGACCCAGGAGAGGCGTTATGCCTCCCAGGGGTGAAAGCGTACATTAGCGCAGAAGACGTCCCTGGAGATAACGTCACAGGGTATGCCGCAGATGATGAGGAGATTTTTGCAACAGACAAGGTGTGTATCTTACTCAATGATTTCACACGTATGATATAAATGTTCTAATAATGTATGGTTGTTTGCCTCAGGTGTCTTGCGTCGGTCAAGTCATAGGGGCAATAGCTGCTGAAACTCAAGCCCAGGCCCAAAGAGCAGCCAAGATGGTAAAAGTAACATACAAAGACTTACCAAGAATACTGACCATTGAGGTGGGCGCTAACTTCAACATTGCTAGAAAGTTCTGTTTATATTCTTGTGCTGCATCTCCTCAATCGAACTGCTGACCATTTTCAACTCATTCACAGTAAAACTACTTAGTTCTTCGCGTCACTTTTCGAAACAAGTCCTTAATCCTTAACTCGCTGTTTTACAGGAGGCTATAGCCGCAGGTTCTTTCTACGATTTTCAACTGAGCATCGAGAAGGGAGACCTGGAAACTGGATTTGCAGAATCTGAACATTTGTTGGAGGGAGAGATGAGATTTGGAGGACAAGTAAGTTGTTGGAGAGTTTTGGATTCAGACTACGAAGCCTAAATAATGTCTAACAGTCTAACTTTTACAGAAACAGCCATTTTTTTTTTCTTCTAGGAACACTTCTATCTGGAGACGCAAGTTACAATCGCTGTTCCAAAGGGAGAAGATGGCGAGATGGAACTTTTTGTTTCCACGCAAAATCCAACATTGACACAGGTATGTTGGAGAGATACTCAGTCTTTCGAAATCTCTCCTGCATATTTGCTGACAAGTCTGGCAATACAATTCATCTCAGGAAAAAATTGCTAGGCATGTTGATGTATGATCAAACAGCCAATTGTATGTGAAATGGGAGTAGCATGTTACTACATCGGCTGGTTGTGTTTTAGCAAAGAATAACGTTTAAAAGAACGAAGATGAAAGACTGACTTTAATCGCTAGATACACAAATGATAACTTACCTAAATTAATCTAAATAACGTGGAAAACGGAATATGTTTATTCTGCTACCTACATAACATTACGTAATGAAAGGTGATAAAAATAAATTCTTCATAATCAACACTAAGTTTGGGTCCTATTTGCAATCAACACCACATGCATATTATCCATGAAGAAAATCACCCTACATTCATAGTCTAGATCAGGGATTCTATACCAACCGCAAAAGCGAGAGGTTTATGTAATCCTCTTTTCTTTGTGTATCTGTAGAAACTTGCTGCAAGAGCTCTTGGAGTTCCGCACAACAGAGTTGTGGTGCGAACCAAACGACTCGGTAAGTTTCTTTGTTTTTCCTTGAATCACGAAATCGTTGATCGCGAAATATCTTTTTATTCATCATCATCTCATTTAGGTCGGTAAAAGCCGATTAGGCAACACACCAACCACTTATAAAATTAAAAAAAAAAATTACATGTCACAATAACTACAGTACTAACTCTACAAATGGACACACTAGTATTAAGCTAATAAACTAAGGCAATTCTTAAATGCGACAAGAGACGTAATATCGGGCATATCAGGGAGCATCTAATTCTAGTCTCTAGCAGTTCTTGGGAAAAAATATAGAAAACGGGCAAAAAAACGGGCTTCGATCGAAGCTCTGAGAACTTGACTCACTGAAATGTGCAGGTATCTTTGTACATTACGGTGCTTTTACTCCTGTAGGTGGTGGTTTTGGTGGCAAAGAATCACGGAATTGTTTTCTGACAAACGCAGTCGCTGTAGCTGCTGCAAGGTAAGTGACTACTCATACATTTGTTCCTTTACTTTCATTTCAAACCGGCATATAAGTATTTCGTTACCTCTTTTGGAATTTCAAGTTGATAAAACCACAATTTAGATCTATTCAAAGGTTCAAAGAGAGTCAAGAAAACCGTTCGTATTTATCGCCTTCATACTACGTAGTTTTTTTTCTGACAAGGTAAACTCGAGTGTCTAGGAAGTTATCTTAGTTTGAGGAAGGCCCCTGAATTCTTTTCTCATCTTTTTTAAAGAACTGGAAGACCTGTTAGGTGTATGCTTGATCGAGATGAAGACATGAAGAGCACAGGAATGCGGCATCCTTTCTTAGCGAAATACAAGGTAGCTATTATAAGTAGATTTTTTAAATTGTTTAGTTAAAAGTTTCAAGATTGAGACATCGTTCCACGAAGACACGTATATACAGGTGCTGGCAAATGGTTTTAAACGTTCCCATTTCCCAAAAAAATTCATGCTCTACGATAGACCTTTGTCAGGAAGAATATTTCTTTGAGCATGAAATTGTTTGTAACTGATTTTCGACATGAAAATGGAGAATTTTAAATTATGCCCTAAAATTATATACTTATGTTTTTCCCGTTCTAGGTGGGCTTTACATTCGATGGAAAGATAAAGTCTTATGACATCAAGTTGTACAGTAATGCTGGCAACACAATGGATGTTTCTAAAAAGGTAGGACTGTTTTTCTATTGGACTCTGCACAGATACTTTATGGAACTCTGGGTAGAGTCTGCGCGTTGCGATGTAAAATCCATCAACTCCACTATGATCTCGTTAAGACATGGTCATTCAGCGGGTTTTTAAGAACTTCTTGAGATACACAGAGAAGACCCTTAGAATTTCATGAACTGTCATGGATCTCCGAGTTCTATTTTTCCATGCCTTCGCATCCGCAAAGGAGAAGTCGCCTCAAACTCTAAAAGCCTGATAAACTCTAACAGCCATTCAACAATTAAACATTGTGTCACTTGTTCAGATGAGAACCCGACACGTTTGGGGTATGTTGCAACAGGTCATAAACTCTCTCTCTGTGATTTAACAACGTAGAGATCGGTGGGTAGACTAATCAATGACTCATTTATTGTTATCAGACTAACGGGTTTAACTTTGCTGACTATTCATACCCACTTTGCCAGGTCATGGAAAGATCAATGTACCATATGACAAACTGCTACCTCATTCCAAACATTCGTGGGGTTGGCCGCCTCTGTAAAACAAACATCGCATCAACCACAGGGTTCAGGGGCTTTGGTGTTCCACAGGTAAGACATTGAAAAACTTGCTTTTGTAGTATGTACAAAACAAATGTTAGAATGTCTTAAATGAGACCAAGAAATCGAATAGACAGTTCAGAACAATTTTCAATTGAAGGTCGAATGTAATATACACGAGATTGGTTTTGTTTCATTTCGCTCTGTGATTGGTCAAAAAACTCGCGCCACTCTCCCAACCAATCAGATGCAAAACTAAAATCATCACGACTTGCATTTGGTCGCCCGCGTTTTCCCGCGCTTTTAGCATTTTGGTTGTTCTTCCTCTGGGTTCTCATTGGTTCGTAAAGGTATTTCCTTTCTTCTAATTGGCCGTTGTGATTACATTAGTATTGGTTTTACGTCACTAAACCAAAAAGCGCTCTTTTCTTCTTCACTTTTATCGAATATAGTTAAAGATTGGTAAAGTTCTGTAAACAAACTGCGAACATCAAAAGACATTGATCGTCACTGACTTCGCTCGTGCTTATTTTTCCAATTATCCATTGATGAAAAAGAGAAAAATAGATTACTTTTGCTGTAAATTGATAAACCATTCTGATGGCGAACGATTTTGTTTGCAGAGTATGTTGTTTTGTGAGTCATTGATTTCTGACATTGCAACCATCTGTGGTATTTCCCAAAGACAGGTCAGTTGTGTGTCCAAACCGTAGATCAGATAGATTTTAATTTTATTTAGAGAGATGTAGCAATGATTGTTCTCACATTAGAGGGCTTGTTAGACTTACCGTACTCGAATAAAGAACAAAAACGTGAGAAACTGTCTGATCAGGACTGATTGCTATGTGGAATTTTACTCTACCCCATTTCCCCTTTTTCGGTCAAACAGATAGACAACTAACGATTTAGGAATTTTAATCAAATGAAATAAATTTCATTTTGACTTGCCGATGAGCTGTTTTAAATGACGAAATGATCTTTACCTGGGATAAATATTTACCGACTGGAGTAAGAGCTTAATATAACGACACAAGACTTTTAAGAATCAACAAACGGAGTAAAAGGTTCGGTATTCGGCGAGTATAACGTGTTGCTTTGTTCAAATCTTTTATACTTAGCGGATGTGAGAAAATCAAATAATGAGCCACCTTTGGTTTCACCAACAGGTGCGGGAACTAAATTTTTACACAGAAGGAGATTTAACTCACGTTAACCAAGAACTGACGAATTGCCAGCTTCAGCGAGTATGGAATGAACTGGTAGAGAAATGCGAGTACGAGAAACGGAGAAAACTCGTCCAATCCTTTAACAGGTAACGTCTGAAATTATTTTCACCCGTCTCGCTTTTTCGTGCGTTGGTTAGGCGGGCTAGCACAAACGATTCACGATATTCTTTCCAATCCTGAAATTTAAAAAAATTATTGCCTTTTTAAACAAAATTTATATTGTTTTAAGGGAAAATCGATGGAGGAAACGTGGAATTTCGCTGATACCCACTTTACTTGGTATTGGAATTACTTTACGCACCAAAAATCAGGTATGAAATCTGCATTGAAAGCTACAACAACTTTTCCTCTGACATGGTTTGATGCTACTCTGGTTTAAAGATTTGATGAATGTAACCGAAGAAGTTATATTAAATCTTTAAACCAGAATAGCATCAAACCATGTCTGATTGTACACCTGGTTGCCATGTGAACTTTAATAAACGTTTCCTTAGTTAATCGCCTCGTATCAACAGTATGTGATTTTTTTTTTATTCAGGCTGGAGCTCTGTTGCATGTTTACACAGACGGATCAGTTCTTTTAACTCATGGCGGAACAGAAATGGGCCAAGGACTACACACCAAAATGGTGCAGGTGAGATGTTTGTCAGCCTGGTGAGCTGTTCCTGCTTACAATGTCACGTCACTGAAACGACAAGTGGAGTGAGATTATACAAAACATGACGACATAAGCTCAAATTTCAACTCCCCTTTGTTATATTTTTGCAGGTAGCAGCTAGATGTTTAGGTATTCCAGCATCCAAAATCATAATAAGTGAAACAAGTACAAACACGGTTCCTAATACTACCCAGACAGCAGCTTCTGCCTCCTCTGATCTCAACGGCATGGCGGTTAAAGTAAGAATTGTCAACACCTTTTTCGCGCAAAAGCGCTTTTTTATGAGATTTGTACATATAGAATTAAAACTAAAAAATTCGATATGAACAATCACAGCAGAAATAAACAGCTCAGGAAACCGATAGAACTGAACTAAAGGAACGACAAGCACAGTGCTTGGAGTGAAGGAAAACGCGAGCAACGGAGTCACCATGGTTTTTTTTCTTTTTTCCATTTTATCAGCTGAGAGAGTTGCGTGCGTTTCCTGGACCAACTTTGAGCGTCGTAAAGCAAAACCAACCGTGAAAGAAATTAACCCCGCATTTTTTTCAACGCTTGTATAACAATTTGCTCAATTATGCAACATACATCTACCTTTCCTTTGTCTAGTGTTCTTCCCGCCGTCGACTTATAGGTTATGCCCTACTCTATAGAAACTTTCGACCAAAAGAGTGTAAGGTTGAGGGGGAGGGGTGGGGGAGAATGGACAGCGAATGACACACTTAAGGGGTTGATGAGGTTTCCACCAAAGAAAGGACTTACAACCTATCGACAAGCAGAAAAAAAAAGGGAATAAATACAAGGATTGACAAAGCATCAGAAAGCTTGGTTATGTTGTTTGCAGAATGCTTGTGACCAAATACTGGACAGACTCAAGCCTTATCAGATGGAGGATCCCAAGGGAAAGTGGGAGGACTGGATACACGCGGCCTACTTTGACCGTGTGAACCTCTCTGCAAGTGGGTTTTACAAGTAAGGATAATGATTACAGTCTAAGCTATTTCAAGTATAATTTCCACACTGTGTTCCGCCCCTCCATCCATAGAGTTCGGTTTTGGGGTTCAGAGTCCCTTTCACCTTCTTCCTTTCCCTCCCCTGCCCCACCACTCCCACACCCTCTTACGTGAGGCTGCTTATTCGAGCTCTTTTTGTTTTAAAAGAAAATTCCTTATTTTTTTATGCGTTAACTCAATGACGATTTTCAAAGTTAAGCCGATTTAGTGAAAATTTGTGCTGATATTGATTCGAAGTCATTTTTTTTAACATCTTACAGAGTGCCCGACCTCAATTACGATTGGAAAACTAATTCAGGGCGTTTGTATAATTATTACACTTATGGCGCTGCCTGTTCTGAAGTGGAAATCGATTGTCTCACAGGAGATCATCAAGTGAGTGACGTCTTACTCGCACCGCTATCGGAAGTCTTTACGAACTATATAATGTAACTAAGCACCAAATATGTGAACGTCTGCCCAGATCTTTTGCACTATCTAGCGGCCTTGGAAGATATAGGTATTAGAGGTATTAGACAAGGTCGCAACTTAAAAAAGGGAAAGCAAAATTCCAAATCTCGGACATTTAAACATGTTTCAATTCTCTCGACAACTAACCAAACCGTTTGGTTAGTAATTTTTTTGGCAGGTGCAAGCTGCACCTGCCAAAAAAATTGCTTAACTTGCTTTTCTTCAAACAAATCTTTTGAGCTGGGAGGAAACGCGCAAGTTGACAAAGGTCGTAGCCATACTTCAGGGTGCTCGTCAGTACGCAGTCTCTCTTTTTAACCCCAGTCACTTTTAACAAATAAAACATTTTTGAGTTGATTTGACAATCATCTCTAACTCCAAACTACTCGCTCAATACTGTTTTTTCTTTTCGTCATTATAACGCTTTTTGGGGTGAATTTGTGTGAACAGGTTCTTCGCACAGACATTGTGATGGATGTCGGTACCAGTCTCAATCCAGCTATCGACGTCGGCCAGGTCAGTAACCTTATTCCATCATACCCTGCGAGATTGTTATTTGTATTAATATATTTCATTTCAGTATTATCTATTTAACCCTTTAACTCCCAGCTCAAATTTATAATTCTCCTTACTATCAACCATACGATTCTTATAATGTTAGTTCAGAGAAATTAGTATTGGATCAACTAATTATCCTCAAATTGATATTTTCCTTTATTCTCATCACTTATCTGGTTGATATTGTATTGATATTGTAAGGAGAATTTCTGTCTTGGTCACTCATGGGAGTTAAAGGGTTAATTGAAATCGTAAATGCCTTTACTCTAAGTCACTGTTAGTTGACGGAGTTCGTCTGACTTCCGGTAAGTTACTTCCGTTGGAAGGACAGGTGTTACGAGAAAAACTTTCACTTTTTCCATCGGAAAATCACATTTTTCCATCGTGTGTATTAGACATTTATGCCATTCATGCCACTTACATCATGAGGATAAGGCATTCAGAGATCAAGGCTACTGTTGATTCGCAATTGAAATGGCCAATCAACATGCACGGAAATGTCACGTGTCAAGCAAAACTATTGCAATCCCTAATAGTTTCATCAATTTTTGAAAGCTGACTTAATCTATTATATCAAAGTCTGCAATTATCTGTTACTCTTGCACTTCCTCATGTCATAAATGTTTTGGTTATGTCCTCAGATCGAAGGCGCTTTTGTTCAGGGACTCGGCATGTTTACGCTGGAGGAAGTGCGATGTTCTCAGAATGGCACCCTATGGACGACAGGGCCTGGGACCTACAAGATTCCTGGATTTGCAGATATTCCGGTGGAGTTCAATGTCCATCTTCTTCAGAAAGCTCCAAACGACATGGCTATTTATTCTTCGAAGGTATTTTACACACTTTAGGGTTCATATTTTAAGGGTACTCTATTTTCAAATGATGATCAACTGATCGACGGCGACTAACTTACTGACTCACCCATAAACTGACTCACTGACTGACTTATTGACAGACTGATTTTCTGACTTACCAGCTGACTGAGTCATTGACAGACTGGCTGATTGACTGTCTGACCAACCAACAGACTGATTGTCTATTTATCTGTTAGTCTGTCTGTCTGACTGACTGTCTAATTGACCAACTAACCGGCTGACTGACCAATCCTGAATAAAGGGGGTAAGTTTCTTAAGAAACTGTGGAACTGCGTCGGTGGGAGAGTATAACAGGGTGATTTAGTATTAAAAACTGAGTTGATAACGTAAATTAGCCACCTTCATGGCGATCGGGCTAACGCTCGAAACGTCAGCTTTTAAAATATTTACGGTGGCCAATTTACGTTATCAACTCAGTTGATAAGACTTAATAACGCTGACTGACTGATGAAAGATTCTTTCACAAAGTGACCGATTTACATTGTCTAATTGTTCGTACCCCTCACTCATATTTTTCGTTGGTTTGCTCGTCTTGTCATTGGATCTGTTGAACGGATGCCAGATCATTGAAATTGGAATAAATCACATTTTAAACCAAACTAGTAAACAATAGAGTCTCGTATTTAATTTCAGGGCGTTGGAGAACCTTCTTTGTTTCTAGCTGCATCTGTGTTCTTCGCTATTAAAGAGGCCATCACCGACGCCAGGTGAGACTAACCTTCTCAATTTGCAACAAAGTGAGGCGAAGCGTAAAATTAATAAATATGTTAGAGCTCCAATTTCTTAGGTTGGGGCTGAAATTTTGGCTCAAGTTTTAATTATCATAAGGAAATTGGCTGACCGAAAGGTCATGAGTTGAGTAGCATGTTGACGTCCTGACCGAGGCTCAGTTAAAGATAAAAGTGCTAATTAATTTCGTCGTTTTTTCTTTAAAGACGTGAATCAGGTGTTGAAGGAATCTTCAGACTGGACAGTCCTGCTACCAGTGAGCGAATCAGAATGGCTTGTGTTGACCAGTTTACACAACAGGTAATAAAGTCACAACTGCGAGTACGTTTTCTCCTCTTGTATCGTGCGTAACAACTATACAAGCGCTGTCTTTTGTTCCTGATTATTCTTGATTTTATTTCTCAATTTTATTTTCTCAGTTTACCACCGTTGTGGATCCCAGCGTGAAGGACTTTAATGTGTACCCATGAAGAAACCAAAACTCAAAAGCTGATTTTGTGACAGAAGAATTTTGATCGCAACAACGAAATTGATATCATTTAATTATTTAATAATAAAAAGAACTTTGCAAATATTAAAATAGTTTTCTTTTTTTTTTTTTTCGAAAGTTTTAGATCACAATTCATTCCCAAGACTTCCAAATTCAATTTAATGTTTTCTTGGCATCTTTGCCTGCAATTTACTCTTATTATTATTGTCAAAATCAATCAGAAAAGCTTTGTCCCTTGTATACTCAACCTGGCCTAATAGTTGGACACTGAATGACCTCAAATAAATATTTTTCTTATCTTAGGATCTTATTTATTTATTTATTTTTTTTTTTCAATAAAATCATAAGTTATAAACGTTTTTCAGTACATCATACAATGAATAAGGGGGGAGGGGGTGAAATTCAACGTTCACAAGTGAACCCCCGCCCCCTGGGAAAAAAAAAAAAACAAAAAAAACTTGGGCAATACCCAGGATTAATTTTACATCAGAAACTGACTTGCCGGTTTGGTCTTCAACTTTTCTGTCCCATGAAAAAACATGTAATGATCCCTTCATTACCGTCGTTTCCTCAGAGAGATTAATAATCCAAAAGCAGGCAAATATCCCAAGAAGATGCGTTAAATCGCTCGGAAAATGAATCCTGGAAATTATGATACCCAGAACCTATCGGAGTAGAGCGTTCACGTTCAGAAATCTCTCCTACTGGACATCTCTTAGAACATTTAATTTCTTTCGAGAAGTTGATAAACCCATCATGGAAGGCAATAACTTTTTAGAGTCGTATTTAAACATCTCGTCTCTCCGCCATCTTGAACGAATACACGATTTTCAACAGCGTACGTTTTGATCAGCGGTCGGAGCCCCCTGATTTAGAGCGCAGACCACCCCTAATCGTTCTCTTTTCTCGTGGTTCTCCGCCATCTTGGTGAAAGGTACAAAACTTATTGAGAATTCTGAACTTTTCCTTGTCTTCTTGGGATAATTTTTCGAATTGTGCTCAACAGAACAACTCTTTAATAGCTTTTCTATCTCTTAGAGAATTTTCAAGCGGAGCCATGCAGATTTTCGTGAAAACTCTGACTGGGAAGACCATCACTCTTGAGGTCTGTAATTATATGTTTATGACACGTGCAAGTTAAGAAAGTGTTTAAGGTGAATTTATCCACCGAACAGTTGTCTTTTCGTTTTTGCATCTTTTTTTTTGCATAAGGCACTTGAATCTTCTAAGTGGTTGGGAAGTTTCCTTTTTTTTTGTTTCCTTGATACGACTGTCCATGATCGAAGAAAGAGTCAATCGATGTCTTCAAATGCTACTAAATCTACGTCAGTTTCTTGGCTTTCCTTAAAAGAAAAGGATGAATCTTGGAACTGCAGTCCCTGAATTTTACTCCTTACAAACTAAATTGAATGAAAAACTAACACAGCTCGCAGACTTAAACTAGACTCCTTACAGGCCTGTCAATGTTTTTGAGACAACAAACACTTCCTTGGGAATCACAAAACTTATTAACAGTAGAAGTATTGAAGAAAGTGTTCCTCAAAAGTCACCACTAAGATGGCAATAAGTGGCGCGGTATTCTGTAGAAATTTGTGCATGGTAAAACAATATTTAACCCAAGTTAAACATTTAAGTAAGATGATCATGTTAGGCTGTGAATCGAGACCAGGGAAAGTGTCAGTGAACTGGCTTGTCAATTTACTTCATTTAAGTTTTTTTATGCTACCCTCTTGAGCAAACTTCTGTTCAAATGGAGAAATTATGAATACACCTGTTGATGGTTAAAAGTGGCTGCTGAAGAATGAGGCATCCGTTCAGAATGCAAAGATGCGTTTCATGAAATGAGTAACCTTCATTTCAACTGGTCCTCAAAGATTCAATGTATAAGATTGTTTTTGATTACCATTGGTATTTGTTATTTAGGTTGAACCCAGTGACTCAATAGAGAATGTGAAAACAAAGATCCAGGACAAAGAGGGTAAGGAGAAGATATGTAGGCTAAATGAAAGATTTAAGTTCTTTCTGTTTCTTTGGATGTACATTATCATGTACACACCTGTGTGGATTTTTCTTTTGGCACAAGAAATAAGTTTACTGAGAACACCATTTACCTTAGGAATCCCTCCTGACCAGCAACGATTGATATTTGCTGGCAAGCAGTTGGAAGATGGACGTACCCTCAGTGACTACAACATCCAGAAGGAATCAACTCTTCACCTTGTGCTGCGACTGAGAGGAGGAGCAAAGAAAAGGAAGAAGAAGAACTATACCACCCCCAAGAAGATCAAGCACAAGAAGAAGAAGGTAAGAGTTGTGTCTAATTTCCTGTGCAAAGAATTCCCAGGAACAACAGAATTTCACTTTAAAGTATTGATACATTGTCAAGCAGGCAAGTGATGAGTGTAAAGAAAAATATCAATCAGGGAATTATAGAATGATCCATTACCAAATTCTCTGAACAAACATCATAAGAACTGTCTAGTAGATAGTAAGGAGAATTATCAATGATATCTCAGGAGTAGAAAGTTTATCAAGTATTACTGTGACATCATGATCTTCATATATCTATCAGTGCAAAATTTTAATTGGAAAAAAACTATGACCTTTGAGTGATAGACATCATCAAAATAACTTTAACTGCTAACAAGCTTTCTTCAGTGCTGAGTAGAATGAGGCTTTTCTTTCCCAAGATCTGAAAATTTCAATCTCCTTACTATTTACCATTTATTTCTTTGTTGTCTGGTCCAAAGAATTTGGTGAGATATTAAAACAATTTATTCCTTAGTTTCCTTTTTCAGATTTCTCATTACCTGTTCATTAGAACTTTTTAAACTGTTAGAATAATTTATAATAATGACTTGTAAGAGAGTTGCAGAAGTGAATGTTTTTTCTGTAGAATTTAACATTTCCTGGTTGTACTTTAGATTGCATGCTAACCATACATTATTTCTTCATTACTAGGTTAAGCTGGCTGTCCTGAAATACTACAAGGTGAATGAAAATGGAAAGATCACTCGTCTTCGACGGGAATGTCCAAATGAGTCATGTGGGGCTGGAGTTTTCATGGCCAGTCACTTTGATCGCCAGTACTGTGGAAAATGCTGTTTAACATATGTGTATAGCAAGGCCCAGGAAGGCAAATAGATGAAGAGTTTAAATTAAAGAAACTTGAATTTCTGTATCTTGGTTGTCATTTGGTGTGTAAGTTATAGTCTTGTTTTGGTTCATAGCTTGGAGGAACAACAGCTCGGTGAATCTGCCCTAAACTGCATTCAGGCATGTTTCAAAGCTGATTTAAACACTGATTTTAGCCAACAATGTCTCATGGCACGCCACTCTCCTTAATTGTGCTCCATCAATTAATAATCTTTTAATACAACTTAACCACAGCCCCGGTTATTTGAAGGTTGGATAACGCCAACCCACTGGATAAATCTCTATACAGTGGATAATGCTATATGGCTTGCTATCACTTATCTGCAGGCTGGCAATTTATCTGTTGGATAGTGTTGTCTGCCCTTTTATACAACTGGCCCTGATGTTCAGTAAATGATTTTTAATCATTTGAGTTAATAATGTAAAGTTGCCATTGTAATTAGTTTGTAAAGATGACATATTTTAGCATTAGCTCTTCATCAGAACCAACAGGTAGGGCTAATGCTTGAAAGGTCAGCTTTAGGAAGTCTTAATGGTGACCAATTTACACTTTCAACTAAGATGATAAAACGAAGTTTTCTTTAAACCCCACCATCCCTTTCCTCCCCCTTTCGTTACTTATGCAGCACCACAGTGTCTTAGAAACTGGATGTGTAGCAGGATTGTAGTCAAGGTGTTTTTGACAAGGTTTGCACGAATTGATGTTGAACAAAATGGTACCATGTTAATGATTACCTAGTGAAGTTTTGTCTGTTCTCTGAAATTTCTTGCATATTGGCAATTGTTACAGTCATTTGGTTTAGCAGCTGTGAAGTTGTCATAAGTGAAGGAGACGTGCTTCTCTACTCATCTGGTGTTTTTAGTTTGTTGATTGTGGTTGGTTGTTTATGTCATGTCCCACAAAGAGGGCCAATGCAGTCATTGTTGTAACCATTAAGAGAATGTAGAAGAAGGTAGACACAGTGACAGATATTTGAGTTTTTTATTATTTAACTATGTAGGGTTACAGTCAAACGTATTTTTGTTGTTTTGTTTGCTTAGTAGCAGAATAATCTTTGCATCCTCAATTTGAAAAGTGAGTTGAAATGCGTAATTTGAAGTACAAACAAGTTTATCGTCACTTTTTGAGCTCTTTTCGTTTGTGGTTCTCTGGAACCATTTAGGAGTCGATTTTTAAGAATTGAAAGGAAGATGTTGGTCACACTTTGAAATTCCACCCCAAGATTACTTTTCTGATCATTAAACTAGTTAAACAATCACTAATGTCAAGGTAAGAACACTCAAGTTATCTGCCTATAACAAAATGATAAAGTGGTAAAGGTGTAGCCATTGTTTTGTGGAATAATTTGGGCTACTGCGACCAGCCCCATCTACATGCCTTCTCATCTCTAGCCATCATCTTGAAATGGTATGTCCCATCACCGGACTATCCCATGATTTGGAAATATAGACGCTGTCTAATGAGCAGAATTTTGATATTCAACTTCATTAACATTCTCTGTTGTACATGAAAGCATGCGATCAAGACATTGATTTGTGCAGAAATTGGTTATACCTGGTGTTTAAACTTGAATATGAAGCGAAAACGTTTGAAAAATTCAGCCATCAAGCGCGCATGTGAAGCCGGGCCTTCCCACTTGGCTTCAAGCTCTTAAACTTAGGCTTCCCCGGTCAAGCACAGCGACGAGAAACGAGACTGGACTTTAAAGGGAATCATTCTCTCAAGAGTGAGTAAGGGGGAAACACCGGTAGACCATAACCCCGCAGGTGGACAAATAGAACTGTCAAGACTTCGTAGCGCTCCCCAGGAGGGAGAACGTCTGACCTCGATACCAATGTTTAACGTATCTGTTAACATTGTCATGAGATGCCGAACTGTTAAGCGTGAACAAATTTAACTGTACGAGACAAACGCAGCTGCTGTCATCTGCTAACCTCAGACAGATTCATGGCTGAGTGATATAGCGGGGAAAATTTTCCTTTCAAAGGATCGAGACCCAAGCGGTGCAGCTTCATGCTTGAGTGCATCTCGCTGATCGTACACTTGAGCTTCTCTGTCAGCCGACAACTTTTCGACAGCTCACTACTGTGTTTCCTTCGCGGGCGTGGTGAGTCCAACTCCGATAACTTAAAAAACCAAGGATGTCTTAAAGCCTCGACAGCCGTGATACGCTGGGATGTCTGCACTGCAAGCATACATTTGACCAGGTCTTTGCAGGACTTAGAAATTTTGTTCCAAGTGGGAGTAGTTAAACTAAACTGGCCTCGCACTGCCGCCAGTAACATTTTCTCGCTGTTATCGTGCCAGAATGGTGGATAGCCCGCCACTAAGAGGTAAAGAAGTACACCCGTGGACCACATATCCACAGGTCGACCAATTGGATTGTCGAGAATTGTTTCTGGCGCCAAAAACATCGGCGCGCCCCGCGGAGGACAGCACGTGACCTCAACACCAGGTGGGAGTTTGAAAGCAAATCCGAAGTCACATAACTTGATTGTTGGGTGCTGTTTGGATTTGCCAGCGGTATCTGGAACTTGTTTGATCAGTAGGTTATCCGGTTTGACATCTCGATGGACGATTCGTTTCTTGTGAAGGTAATGAAGGGCTTCAAGTACCTACGAAGCGATACCAATGAAAGGTTAAATTTTAAAAGTCGACTTAACAAAAAAGGAGTGAAACTCGAAGCCAAATAAAAGATGGCTCTTAACTATTTCTTGCGGTGTTCTTGTAACAAAAATTAGGCCTGGTGCAAATAAATGTCTAAATATCAGGTTTTAGACGACTACGATAACTGTACAAGCCGGCAACTAACGCATTTCACCGTCTACTCGGAAAAATTCGCTGGTTTTTTCGACGCACGGTGATGACCTTGGGAGCAGGTCCTCGTTATTAGCGTAGCACGAGCGTTCTTCGCCCGCCTTTAGGGGTCTAGCACTGATTGTTAGTGCCAGATCCCCGGTAAAACTTCTCCACAACTCGCCTCGAATCTTTCCGCGAGGAAAGAAACGCGCGTCCTAGAACGCCAAGTTCTGGTCGTAGGCTGTACAGTAGTCGTAAGTTAGCAAGTTTCACGAAGGTTATTGAGAACGGTTAGTTTTGAACCAAACGTTTGAAGCATTCATGTCACCAGTCAGTGCTCAGTGCTCCTCTGATGCATCTTCAGTTTACATAAACTACCACGATTTACCATAGTGTGGGCACCATCGGAGACAAACAAAACAGTTTGAAGTGATACAACAATAATAGATTAGTTGTATATACAACCCACGGTAAGCAGCAAGAAATTAATTGAATTGGTTGGAAAGGGTTAGAGGTCAGAGTTGGAATTACATGGAAGATGCCAAAAATATCAACTGAATGAAAACTGCGCTGAAATAACGCGCTGGCCTATTGATGTCATGCACGTTTGTGACACTGCGCTCTTGGACAAAGGTTTTAGTCTGTGCCTAGATAAGCAGTAGGGAACAAACATAATCGTACCTATTCCACGGCTAAAAATTTTGACAACTATACAACAAAGTGAGACTATGCTGATTTTTCTTCGCCAAAAAATCCATTAAAAACATGAATGAACTGTATAAACATAACGAAAACGTCAGGACTTCGCTGAACTTTCGACAATCCATGTGACAAAAAAACGGAGCTCTTGTTTAAATCTTGTTTTTGATCTTGAAACGCTTCAACATAAAAATTAATCCGATAATTATACCCTAAATTGAATATATAATGACTTGTGATAAAAGTAAGAACGTTTGCCCCGTTTAAGGTAAAATACATCCGAGACAAAAAAACGGAAATTTTGCAGGTATCGCCGATATTTTTTATCAGAATCCGCTGTTTGATTAGCTGTATTATTTTAGAGAATGTTGATTTTATCTTCAAGATAACCGGAACTGATTATGACTTGATTCTGTCAGATAAATTAATCAATGAGGTAAAACGGTTGTAAAATTGCTCACCAAAAGTAAATGCAAGGTTAGCTTTGCGAATGAGTCTGGAATTAAATACAAGATCGTAAACGCAAGAGCGAAATGTACGTCGTGTTTTCTAACAGAATTTACCGAACCTTGTCACATATTGAAGAGTACTAGAGCGAACAAGGTAGTCCGGTCTATTTCACCACAATCTTGAAACATTTTTGCCATAGTTGTTTCAAGAGGTCTGATAAACTTGCTCTTCAAACATCGTCTTTGTTGACGGTGCAACATGCTTCGAAGGTGACGTGCTCAGCAAATTAAAATAAACTCCTTTCTGCTTATGACAGGACGTGAAATGGGTAGTGCATTAATTGTTAAATGCTGAAATGGAACCGCTAACGCAACTGAAAATGTCAAAATTAGAAACAGAAGACCAGGGCAGCTGAGTTGCATTTTACACGATGAAAGCTTACATCAGTGGGCTAACCGCAGCAGTCTATAGATAAAATGCTGAACTTTACCTGTTTCAAAATGTTCGCAGCTTCTTTTTCGCTGTATTTGTGCCTTTGCATCATGTGATTATAAAGGCTTCCCCCGTCCACGTATTCCAGGACAAAGTACATGTAAGATCCTGTTGCAAAGGAGGCGTACAAGCGAACGATGTTCTCGTGCACAACATCAGTCCAAACAAGTACCTCTTGTTCTACAGTTTTCTCATCAAATTCCTTGTGTTTCTGGTCAAATTCTTTCAGAGCGAACACGGTTTGTGACTTGGTTTCCACACATTTGTAAACCTGAGCGAAAGAACCCTCGCCCAGCAAGTCCTGGATCCTGAAATCCTCGGAGTCATCGTCAACGAATGAAATTTCGTACATGACTGTTGGGTGAAGAACACCTTTTACTGTTTGACGTTGAGACGAAACTGTTGGAAAACAAAAATGCACAGTCTGGGCTTCGAATCTTAAGAATATCGGAGGTGTATGTAAAGTGCTGTTTGCGATTGGATTACAGTCCACTGCGCAAACAAACATAAATTAAATCCATTCATCAGATTCCTTTGAAGAGGCCGACTCGCTTATTGGACGTGCGGGAGGAACACAACTGTCTAATAAATTTCAGCAGTTTTTAAGTGCGATTGTATGTGTGCAACCAAAATTTTTGGCTTTATGTCAGTAGGTACTTAAGAAGTTAAGTGACAAGGCAAACAATTGAGAAACTGGAAACATGATGTCGCTCGGTTTCTTTTAGAAAAAGTCATATAGGAGGCGTGATTAGGGCATTTCTTTATGGCCGGTGCATTATTAAACGAAATTTAGGTAAACAAGCCGCCAGTCTTAAAAATGACAATATGATGTATTTAACAAAATATAATTCTTTCATTACTCTCTTTGCCGCACAAACTAATTTAGAAATATGAGCTATGATATGAAAAGACGGAAACATCAGCTTGCCCTGATCGACGAAGGGAGCAATGTATTTTAGCAGGTAAGAGTCAGTTGAAGATTTTAATGGCTTCTTAAACAATGCTTGTTTTTGTTAGCAAGGTTGATTAGAGCGCTCTAATGAGATTGCTCCACTGACCATGTTTTAAAGCCGGCTTCCTTTTGAACAGTTTGTTCACTTTCCATTCCCGTTGTATTGTTGGAAACAGCGGTGCTACACTGTGAGCCCACAAAGGAAGTATTAGACGTCAATTCGCTTTGCACGTAAATAAATCATTTATAATCCTAATCGGAAGGATGAGGATTTAAAACCTTTTTGTATTTAGATCCACTTTGTGACTAATTTGCATGGTTAAACTGTACTTAATAACAACTAGTCCCTTGAGACAAAAAATGAAAGTAAATAAATAAAATTTACCGACTTTGATTGATTGAATCTTACAAGTGATTCTTTATACGTTTCCGTTCGAAAGCTAAGACTCGCTTTGGTAAGATGGTAAAAATTACCTCAGTTTCGTCACAGGAAAAAAAACTGAGGGTTTCTTGATTTCCCTGGTGAGACTTTCATCTTTTTTACGTTTCTCAACTCACAAACAGGGACTGTTTTGATATCGTGTCACAGAAAATTAATGAACAGTAAGTCAACCATCAGGCTGTCTCCTCACGAAAATTGGCACATGTTCAACGATGGAAGACAGAATCTCTTTTAGTGTTTTGTCCGCATGCGTAGTAAGCATAAGATACGCTAAGCTTACGTTACGTAACAACCTGTTGAGCACACACATTTTTGTACGTATCAGGAGGAAGTTTCCTTTTCCTTAAACCGTTAGAATTCCGAAAAGGAAGCCAAATGCCAAACCAGTAACTGAATAGATTCTTTCCCCTATACTATAAGGCCTGCTCAGAAGAAACTGAAAAAGCGCTATTCGTCTCCAGTGACTCTTGAGTGCGGTGAAACGTCAGTCAAAGAGGGAATTTTGTTCTCAAAGAAAATGCCACAGTTTACTTAATTGCTATTCACCGATACAATTGCTGACTTTGCGAGTTTATTTTATTGGTGTTATGGAGGGCTCTGATTCCTGGATGATCTCCATAAAATAAATATGAAATAAAAAGTGAAATTAAGAAAAAAAGAAAGCGGAAAGTGCGAAGGTTATGCTGCCACTTAAGCGAGAAACCGCTGCTTGTTCATTTCAAAATCATTTCATGGATATCCTCGTCATTTACTGACCGTCTGCCTAAAATGCTACGTTGGCTTTGGTAACAAGGTTATTGAAGCGAAGAACGTGACCCCAGCACTATTATAACTCTTCTGCATTGCCGCAAGGTACTCGAGTAGGTATTATCTTTACCACCGGCTCTTCAACTGCCTTACACGCCGCACGGCGGTTGGTCAAGTCCATGTTGTCAACAGCGTTGCAAAGCCCGGCGGTGTTGTACATTATTTCTTTGAAATGGAAGCAACCACAATTTTCAGAAATGCGCAAAACGATCTAGAATATAATTTGTCGTTTAAAGAACAGCGCTATTCTTTTCCTTATCAATTATAGCATCAATAATCTTTAGTGCTAAATTTAGTTCACAGGAGTGAAGAAATTAGGAAATTGAGATGCAGAAAAATCGAGAAGTTTTACAAACACTTACAATTACTTTGTAAATAAATTACTATCGTGTCTCCGTTATGCTTTTAAAAAGCAAAGGGCATGCAAGCACTCCGAAATACAGATATCTAGGGGTTAAAATTACTTTCTGTCGCCCGATCGATCAGCTTTTGATCCGAGACAGATAGCGGTTAGCAGATGATTTGAGTGAATAAAACCCAATGATCCCCTTGTCAATTACTCGAGATCGCATTGCAAGATTCTTATTGAATAAGCTCTCGCTGTTTTATTAAGCCTTTTACTTCCTGGCAAATGAACAGGAACGCTAAAGGGATAAATCTTTCCGCGAATGTAAGCTCTAAAGTCTTTAAAAGAAGAATCTTGGCGCTGCGAACACACGCAAATACTGACTTCGTCGCGTGAGGTTATCAAAACTACTTTTCACGCAATTGAGATATTTCCTGTACGGTTTTTTTTCCCTAAGATTGGCTGTTCGGGTCACCAAGAATTGGCGGTTGTTCGTCTCGCCAATTTTGAGGGTAGAAAAAGCGATTTAGCCCTTCGCGCTTGGCATGTTATGCAAAAACGTTAGACTGAGTGAATGAGTATTCTACGCGATTGGCAATTTCAAATATTACGTTCACTTCAGAGAGACGCAGTAGATTTTAAGAGTGAGGCTTATCAAATACTCTTCTTTAAAATTAATGAATCCCCAGTGGATCAAAATCAATGTAAAATCTAAAGAGTTTCAATTGCTTCTTACCGTGAAAGATATCTATTCTCGAGCTGTGTCACAGTTGTGCTAAATTTTGCGAAGTCCTTCCAAAGGCCGCCTGGTCTCAAATGTACATTAGTTCATTTTGTTGCCTCGAGTCTTGCAGTTAATTGGTAAATATCAAGTTTTCTCAATGTAAGGAAGCACACTGCTTCAATTGCTCAATTAAATCACAGCTCAGCTAGCGGCAGTTCATGTCGTCTTCCTTCTTCAGGATTGAGCAATTATACCATAGACCCTCAGAAATAAAAACAACTCTTGTTTTGTTTTCGATATTAATTAGCGTGGTATTTGAACAATAGTGTCAACAGCTTGAGAGATTTATTTCATTGTCAATACACTTCATGTGATTTACGCTCTGTAATCCTGGAAAACAATAACACTTCATGTCAATGAGAAAAGATTTCACAATATCAACCTTTGGTACGAAAAAACGTGAAATGAAGCACGGTTTTCCATTTTGAACTCACTTTTACAGGAGTATTGCATGTGCTAATATTTGGCATTAGAAGAAAAATCTGATGCGGAATTCAGTGATTATTTTAGAAGTGCAAAATTAGATTACATTTTTTTTAGAGATCAGCTGGAGTCTTTCAAGTCATCATGCTGCGAAAAGAGAGAATTCTCTCAGTACTGTTCCTCTGTGTGTCAACTGAAATGGCGTAGGCTTCAGCAGCATTGAGCCAAGGGCCGGGTTTCGATAAGCAATTTGCATAGCAAGCCAGCGGACGAGGACGGCGGAAAATTTCGCACATAAGGACTACAGTTGTATGGAGATGCGAGAACTTGAACAGCGTGAAATATGGTTGGCGCACAGAACTGCCAAATTGACATCAAGACTTCATTAGTGTCCCAGTCAATTTAACAAATCAGTTTCGACTGTCTTTTTTTTTTCCACTAAAAAAGTTCCCCGTCCCTCCTAATGTTAATTTCTTCATCCAAACCTAGGTAGAAAGTTTCACTGTTTTTGGCATAATCCAAAATAAAGCGGCAATGTTTTCTGTGATGGGAAAATCGATGTTAAAACTTAGTATTCTGCATACTGAGACTGTCAGCTCAAGAGGAGCTTCTATACTAAGCATTTCGATCCGGGGCACATTCCTATAAAAATTCTTGGCTTTCAAGCCAAATCAATTCCATTGCATACAGGCGCATGTTTCCCAAATGTCTTGTTATCAATTTTATCACACGTAAAAATTGTTTTCAGCGACCAACGCGTCAAACCAGAAAAATTCACTATCGTTAACGACAACGTTGTGCTTTTTTTTAAAAACTCCATAACAATGACAACATACTAAACACGCATTTGCGGGAAAAGAAAAATTTTCCAATCAATCGCGTCCGTACATGATCACACAGTGGACACTTTTAAAAGGCGAAGAGGTCTGTCGAACACTTAACGAAAGTAAAAGGTAGACACTAAAACTTCGCGTGCAGGAAAGACCACAAATTAGAAATATGGCCTGCGGCGCAAATTTCTAGAACCTGATAATTAATTATATCTCAGAGGAACACTTCACTCTATCTGCGTCATTCACTGCTAATTAATGGTAAAAAAAGGACTCTTTTTCACCTGTGATAGTTACAGGATTGAAGGGTACAAAAAAGATACAAAAATTTTAAATTACTTGATGAGGATATCAAGTTGATGCCCTTGAAATATTTTAAACCAAGAAGGTACAACTGAAGATATGTTAAAATCGATATGTTGTTTAGTCACTCGAATGTTTATAGATTCTAATTTTTATTAACATGACAACAGTATATCTAAACAAATACAAATATTTTCCATATTTCCACCTTCTCCAGAATCATTGCCTGATAAAGAGCATCTCGCTATTAACATCTGAAATTTTAAAAATTTTAATTATTTCTTCATCTGTTTGTATTCCAGAGTAAACGTCCCCAGGCATCAATATTGTTTATTTTATCTCCTGGCTTACATTTTGGTGCAAATTCTTTTAGCATCTGTTTCAGTTAAAAACGGAAAAATTCCACGTATATTTTGGAATGTTCTTAATTTATAACAGTGTTTTCTTTAAAAAAAAAAAAAGAAAAACCGTGTGCTGAGCGCATAATGTACAATTAGTCTGAAACAGTTCAGCGAAGAAAAAAATTATTAATTATGCTGTTTGTTTGTTTCCTTGTTAGTAAAGGACATGGTTGCATAGCAACCAAGCAGAGTGCTTGTGTCCCGACTGTCTTTACAATCAGTAACATTGACGTAAACAGGTGTCAAAAAACCAGCAGCAATATTACTTAAAAAGCAAAATTTTGGTGCAAGATCGGGTCAAAATGAGCATTATCTACCCCCTAAATCTATTTTAAAGATTTCTCGAGAGAGTTTTCTACCACTTTGGTTGGTGTGATAACGTTTTCTTGAACAGCAATTGCTTTACTCAGACCCTACAAAAAAAAGAAAGGAACAATAACAGCGTTTTAAAAATGATATATTTTAAAAAAATTGACTCCAACTTGTGGGTTATGCAACGTCACCAACCTTTCCTTCGGGCAAACTATTTAGGTCCCAGATCCTCGTAAATCCGTCGGCAGAGCAAGAGACAACCCTGTGCGGGACGGCCTGGGAACAAAGTTGTCAAAGTTATGGTAGTATAACGAAAGTAAAGTGAAAGAAGTTTGTGCTCATTAAACGGAGCACAAATGAAAGATCCTAATCCTACCTTAACACAGAACACCGGCCCTTTGTGTCCCTGTAATGATCGTAGACACGTACAGGTACTTAGGTCCCACTCCTTCAATAAATTATCCCTGTGATATGAAATAAAAAAAAAAACGCGCTACAAAACCGCAATAATTTCACTTGGAAACGTTCGGACGTCGGGGCGCAAACCATTTTCAATATAATTACCTCGAAGGACTTGTGGGTACAAGCTTTCCTAACACTAATCAAGACTGATACAACGCCAAAATAAATTGCTAAATGATGACGAAAAATCTTGGCTCAAAGTCTCGGCGAGGGCGAGATTGTTCTCACAAATTCACTAAGAAAGCGCGAAACGGCAATTCCTGAATAGTAGCCAAGGGTTTTCTAAATCAAAGCAGAAACGTGAAATAACATCTAACGCCAAGCTTGTAACAGTTGGCTTAGCATTAACTAGTGCTGCTGCAATATTTTACGTCAGTGCTATTTGAGAAGAGTTACAGGAGGTTCTCTCGCAAGAAAATGAAATAACCTAGGAAAAAGTCTTACCCTCCTGATGAGAAGAAATGTTGATGACCATTGTAATCCAGAGAGTGGACTGGGCCCTCGTGACCTTGGATAGCAGCTTCGCAGAATCCCGTTTCCAGGTTCCAGAACATAATCATGCCGTCCGCGGACCCACTGATTATTAGGTTACCGAGTACCTTTCAAAGAAAATAAAAAAAGAAAAACAGAAAGAGAAATAAGGAAAAAAAAAGAAAATAAGAAAAAAAAATTTAGTGGCGTTTTAACAAACCAATCGCGACGAAGTCACCTTTAGAAAACTGCTGTAAGAAGAAACGAGTATAACACATCTAAAAGCTACCAAGTTGAGAAATTTTACCGTGACGGCCAGTACAGCGTCTTTGTGTCCCTCAAATGTATGAAGACACGCTCTTGTCTTTATATCCCACAATTTTAACGTCCTACAAAGACGAGATAGGTTTAAATAATTTTCATTTTCCGTGACATTCAAATAGTGGTGAGTCTTAGATGATGTACAAGTAGCTTCTCAAGAGCAAAGAAAACACAACGAGGATTTGGCCAAAAGAACTTCTCTTTCGCTTTCCGGTTGATGCAAGCTTCTCCGCGCGGTTTCCGCTTGCCGTAAGTTTTCCCGCGGTCAACGCTTATTGCAGGTCTCCCGCGCATGTCGCTTGTTGCAAATTTTCCCGCGCTTACTGCTTGTTTCAGGTTCCCGCGCTTGCCTCTTGACGAAAGTTTCTCCCACGCTTACTGCTTGTTGCAGGTTTCCCCCGCTTGCCACTAGTTGCAAGTTTCCCGCCATTACCGCCTGTTGCAAATTTCCCTGTGCATGCATCTAAAAGTTTGCTGCATTTGCCGAACTACGCAAACTCTATTGCATCATTTGCCTGTCGCATTTCTCGTTCCCTCGCCCCCCAAAATGAGCATTTACACCTTGGTTTGCAGAAATTAAACGGGATATTTAGTTTCCCTACCTATCAATAGAACCACTGACAAGGTAGTCTCCGTTTAGCTGGAGACACGTAACAGCACCTTGGAGTTAACAAATTAAGTGCTGTTAGCAATGTGTACAGACTCAGTCAGTGGCTGACCAAAACCGCCAGCCGCCATCTATAGCTGGCTTGTTACACCTCAGTTTACCTATGTGCAATTGAAAGATCGTGCAATTTTTGAAATACATCTACTATAGAACCAATTTGTAACGCGGCCATTTTCCATTTTCGAGTGAAATTGAATATACTGTTTGCCCGTAACTTAGATGTCTGAATCGATTCTACGCCTGGGACTTTTAAACTAAATAGTTCCTCTTCTAACGAAATAATAAGGCGTCTACGACAACCTAGACGCCTACTAATTCTCCTCTGCCTTCCACTTTCAAAGTCACTGACAGCCTCCCAGGCTGGTCGGACACATGAAGCGCAACTTCTGTGCCACTGGCGATAATGTAACAATATCAATCCTAGTACCTTCATGTCCTTCAATTTCAGATTCACATTCCCACGTGTCTGTGTCCCAAATGCGGAGGGTACGGTCATGTGACCCACTCACTCTGAAAGGAGAAAAAAGCGATTTTCACGTGAGTGTCGAAAGTAATTCGCGTATGCCTTGATTTTACTCCAAGCTCATGCATGCAGAGGAAAGGCAAAAGTTCTCTTGTTCTACAACACTTACAGGATTTTTCCTTTAAACTGCAAACATGAAACGCATCCAGAATGCCCATAAAGAACTTTTAATCTGTGGAACTTAACAATGTGCCAAACCTAAAATCACAAAACTCAACTGTTAGTGTGAAAGACAAAAAAAATTAAAGCTTGGTTTCCGCATGATCGGAAAAATAACTTAAAACAAAAAGACAAAACTTCGGCGCCCGAACAGATCGATCGCTGAATTGGTTTTTCTGACAAACAGTTCCCTCTCGCTTCCCTGTGCTTGAGGCACTGACTTTGTCTAGTTTTTGTTTGTTTGTTTTTTTTTCTTCTTCCCATTTTTCCACATTGACCTCTCATAGACTCTTTGGTCTTTTTTCGCTCTGTTGGGATTGGCTAGTTTTACGACACCAATCGCAATTCACTCCATCACTGAATCGGAGTTGTCACAACTAACGGTACACATATATGAATAATAATCTCATAGCCTTGATTAAAAAGATGTCCTGGAGTCTCAACAGGTAACACAAAAATTGACAAATCAAGAAAACACAAACCATGATAGTCATATCCCACGAGCCACTGACGATTTTCTCATCGTCAAACTGAAGACACCGCACTCCACCCTGAAAACCAAAAAACAAAGTGGTACTTGAGGTAAAAAAAATACCAAAAGAAATGGTTTGACCATTCACCTTGCTGGATTACTTCACAGGTTTATTCTCCAAACAGTTTCAAAACTTAATTCACCAAATGAGAAATGAGAATACACATGAATACGAGCAGGAGTTTTTTTATTATGTACCTTGACATAAAAACCAAACTCTCTCAACTTATTTCAAAGGGATGATATGGCAGCAAAAAGAAGGATGTTGGTAACGAAATGGTTAAATTACAATTAAATCAGTTTTCAAAGTGTCCATTTACGGCAGGCCAAATCAATTGATTAGTTACAAAGTTCAACAGAGGAGTTCAACTCGAAACTACCGAGAAAGAAATCCAATTGAGTTACAGTGTGCAGGTGTCATCCTGGACCCTCCAGATTTCAAATCCAGCCCTGTACAACACTTTTCCATGCCACCAGGGAAGAAAGAAGGATTTGTTGCGCTTAAACAAAGTTGTCGCTTACGATCAATTCACGGTCAGAGTCGTATCTTCCTGAGCGATGTGAGAACAATACCTTGTGGCCTTTTAGCTTGTGAATACTTCGCCCACTCCTCACATCCCACATACTAGAAATGGAGAGAAAATCACAACTAAGATCACTTTTCAGAAAAGAATACATAACAAGCAATCTGATTTGATTATCGTCCTTTAAAAACTTTCTCATGAAATACGTCTGAAACAAATGAATTTCGTCACACTTCAATTTTACTTAAAGAACCAGTTTAAGCCTACCGTATTGTGCGGTCAGCAGAGCCGGTAATAATCCTTCTTTTATCGAACTGTAAGCAGAATATGGCATCCATGTGTCCCTAAAAAATAGAAAACGAAGGATGCGGGACGGAATAAAATTTTTAGGTTCTAAACAGATGACTTGTAGCAGAGATTCTTGTGCATTAAAAAGTGTTACAGCAGACGATCTTCATACCTGCAATCTCCGCACCCTTCGAACAGAAAAAACACCTTGAACAGCAAGTGAGAGATAACGAAACTTTTGCCTGCCTCTTTCTCCATCACCTTCCTGTGAGACAAACGAAAACTATATTTAGCCTTCGAGCAGGCGTCATTGTCGGCGCTGCATGACGCACGTTTCTTCGCCCGCGGGAAGATTTAAATCCTTAAACCCTAAGAGTAATCAGCATCTAGTTTCTCTTTACAATTATACTACTGAATCATTCATTTAAGATACATATGAAAAAAGGAAATGATCACCAACTAAGGAAGCTTTCGATTGTTCAATAAATTCTCCTTATCAGCACCTTAGGAAATGTGTAGATAACAGTATGGGGAATATACATACTGATGTTGCCAACAAGTTTGATGCCTGCACAAGGGTAGGCCGTACATCCAATGCAACATCTAAATCTTCAGGTTTATCTCCGCCATCAGCCAGTGCCTTCAAACTGCGTGTCAGGAGCTTTAGGTTCCCACCTGTAAGATCATTTCCATCAAAGTCTGCTGCTGTGAACTCGTCACCATGTTCCTTTTGATCAGCGGTCGGGGCAGACTGAGCGGGTCCGACGTTCTCCATCACTTGAGCTATCATAATTTCAGCTGGCAAAGGAAAGGAATCGATACGAACTCCACGTGCAAAATAGCAGAAAATCAGTTCTTTAAGACAAAGAAACTTACACTTCAGATTGTTTATTTTTTTTAATGCCTAAAACTTCTGGTGCTATTTCCGTAAAGGAAAAAAATAAAGTGTTTTCTCAAGCCTATGAGCCCCCCTCAATCAGAGCTTATCCTGGTTTCTAAGAAGCATGAAGCGACTAGGAGTATTACAACTTCCCCCCCTGGATGGGATGCTTGTCCATCGCAAGGTTCCCCCCCCTGCATTTCGTCAGGCTTCCCTGACAATTCACCAGTACCTTTTTACACTCCTGGGGGGAGAGAGAAATGGTGAGAGTAAAGTGCTTTGTCCAAGAACAAACACACTGACCCAGCCGAGTCTCAAACCCAGACCTCTGGACGCGAATTCCAGTGCACTGGCCATTATGCCACTGCGCCTTGCATATTTACATAACTGACCAGAAAAAAACACATCCCTTACCAACGTTACTGTATACAGCCTTTGGTTCATCTTTGATGATGGGCTTTGGTGGCAATTCTGAGAGCAAAAGAACAAACTCAATCATTGGAAAACTGACCTTCAATTAACACGAACTGACTTACATCAAAAGTTACCAAATGCATACAAATACATTTAACTGTCACTAGCTTCTTTAACTGTAAAACTTTTTACATTTCAGTTAAATTTTTGTTATCCATCACATACGTCCCTTTGCGTGGCCTTGGACTAAGCCTACCACCTGACCCCATAATTACCCCAAGCGAAGCTGACAAATATCCATTGTTAGTTCATACCACACAGGTGAATAGTGCTTTTAACACATACTGATTGGCTAGTTCCAAAGTTATCAGTAAGTACCAGTTTTATTCCCCTCTGAGCAGCGGAAGGGACAAAAGCATGTGGCGAGAGTTAAATTTTAAGATCCAGGCAAAGCACAAAAAACTTGTATAAGAGATACTCAACATAATTTGAAATATGCTCAAGACAGATGTCTCTCTTCATTATAATCTGTTTGGTGAAGCTCACGGTTTTCTTTTCCTTTCCTTTTCCTACGATTTTCTCTCCAAAAGGAGACCACATATCTCTGACTTTTTGAAACTGCATGTTGTCTCCTGTTCTTCTGTCATGGCCAGACATATTTGAAATAAACATACCAGTTACTGTTACTTTTGATTGCTTCTTCATTTCCTCGCATCTTGCAGCTTCTAATTTCTCTTTCAACTCTGTGGCAGTAATGTAACATTTCACTTTTTAAGATAAATGTTTTTTGTAACTTTTCACCCAGTCACATCAATTTAAATACAATCTGTTGGAATTAGGTCATTCTATGTTTGGCATTTTACATTTTGTTTGGATGGAGGGCACTCATTCTACCCAGAAGCAAACCACCTGCAGCAAAGACATCAACTGTTATTGGCAAATTTAGCAAAAATTTCTGATTATCAAA